GTGTGTGTGTGTGTGCGCGCATGTGTGTGTGCGCATGTGTATGTGTGTGTGTGTGTGTGTGTGTGTGTGTGCGCACTCTTGTGTGTGTGTTTGTGTGTATGTGCGTGAGTGTATATATGCTCACATGCATGTGTTATTTCTGTCAGACCATAGGCTCTGTCTATAGTCTATGGATAGACTTATTTAGCTGTGTGTACTTGTACCATTATCTTCAACAACAAAAATAACTGCAACAACAACAACAACAGCTCAGGCTTAAAAATTGGCCATTAAAACAAAGAAAGAGTTATAAATAGTTAGTTACAAGCAAGAAAGGAAAAATAAGTTTCTTTCCTTTTCACCCCCCAGATCTCAGCGAATTGTTTTTGCCCTAAACATTGCCAGCACGGCAGATCGCACGGCCTCATACTCGGCAGAAATGGATCACCTGTTGACCCTTCTGCAGGACGAGATCAGAAAACTCAGCTCCAACAAAGTTTCTGTAAGCCACATATGAACTTTTTTAGGTGTTTTTGTTTTGTTTTTGGTTTTGTTGTTGTTTTTTTTGGCTTTTGAGCTCCGATAAAGTACAGTCAAACCTGCTCTAGCGGCCACCCGTATATGACAATCACCTGTACAAACGGCCACTTCGCTTTTGGCCCCTAGTGTATTTTCTATATTATAATTTATAATGACACTGTGTAAAATGTCCACCTGTCTAAGACAACCACTTTTCTCCTCAACAATGGACAGCCGATTGAGACAGTTTTGACTGTGTGTGTGGTGTTGGCGGGTGCTCTGGTGTGGTTTGCTTCTTCTTTCCTGTCAAACATCTATCGTCCTTATCTCCCCTTTTTCTTTTTTATGTTTGTTACTCTCTAGTAACACCTGTAATCTTCTGGCGCTCATATGACCTTATGTAGTTGCGAGAGCCGTAAAACCTCTACTCAAACTAAAAGTTTTGACTGTATGTGTAAATCACGTAGTTGCTTTTTGTGTGGATAGGTTGCCATGTTATTTTCTTCGTTGGGGTTAGAGTAGAGGTTGATCGCTTTCAGGTGTTATGGGTTTTGGTGTTCATCTGTTCATGCATGAGAGTGTGTATGCGTGTGTGTGTGTTTGTGTGCGTGTGTGTGCATGTGTGTGAGTGCGTGCATGCATGTGTACAGGCATGTTTGTGCTAGAACATGATAGTTTTCAATTTACGATTATGGAGCAAATTGGACTGGACAGAAAGCAAAGTATTTGTGATTTGTTTGGGGCAGGGGAGGGGGTTGATGGGGTAGGGGCGCACCAGTTTGCTTCTTAGCTCCAAATAAACTTTCAAAAGTGGGCAGATTATTTCAGTGTCATGGGTCTGTTTTTGGTATACCTGACGTGAAAGAGAGCTCTGCAACACAAATGTCAGGGAGTTGCAGTCCCAGTTGGTAGGAAAGTGAACAATTTGTATTCCTCTTCCTGAGAATGAGATCTTGCACCCTGCCCCACCCCCAGTCGTACTTGCGCGCTTGCACGCACACACAGACAAGCAAGAAAGGACACAGACACAGAGACACACACACAGAGATAGAGAGCCTGATAGGAGGAAACAAAAGACTGTTTTTTGTATTGTGATCCCGTAGGGCAGATTTGTTCTACAGTGACATACATAAAAATCTATGCAATGTAAGAGTTTAATAAC